ACAACAGACACCCTGTGAGGTAGGTGGGGTTGAGAGAGCTCTGACACAAACTGCTCTTTTTCAAGAACAGCTCTTATCAGAACTACGGCTTGCCCAAGGCCATTCAGCCAGGTGCAAGTGGAGGAGTGGGGAATCAAACCCGGTTCTCCCAGATTAGAGTCCGCACACTTAACCACTACACCAAGTCGAAGAGGGGGAAGAACCTGAAGGATCAGGCAAGTGGAAGAGCCTGTGATGGCACACAAAGGACTGGCGCACTTAGATTGTACACCAAGATCCTGTTGTGTCGAAATAAAAGCAGGATAGCTTCCGGGAGACTGCTTATTAAGGCTGAAGTTCCTCCTGTTCATTTGCAGGCTCATTTTTCAGTAGAAAAGGCTGGATTAATCGCCGGGGTGAAGATCAAGGAGGTCCCCACGGATGACAAGTTTGCTGTACGTGGATCAGCTCTAAGAAAAATTTTGGATCAAGACAAAGCAGCTGGTCTTATCCCATTCTTTGTAAGTACTGACTGTCCTGGAAGCTGGGAGGTCTGTAATGAGATCTTCCCTGCGTCTTCAAAAGCCAAATTGTTGTGTAGGCTCCTAATCCAAACCAGATGTGAGGCTCCGGTTGCCATGTCCTTACTGGGTTCTGGTGTGTGTGGGGGGGCTCCAGTCTTCTTCCTGGAGTCTGCTGGCGCTCGTGATGACGTCACCCAGAAGTGACATCATCGTGCAGGACACGTCACGTGGGGGACACGCTAGCATTTGGGGGGAAGCCTCTATGGTTACTGTTAAGTACGAGACTCAACGCAGTTTTTCCCAAACAGTGATTCAGCTTTACTAGATAGGTGAAGAACGAACACAAAACATTAGCGCAACAGGCTCTCTTTTAAACTGTCCGGGCATAGTAAACCATGCCCATCTGTCAGATAAAAACCAATCAATATTTACAGATAACAACCAATGCGTTTGTTTTCCTCCAGAATCGTTCTGGTGTTCTGATTGGAAGGCTGTGCAGAGCACCCAATCAGATTAAGTGCTTTACAATACCAGTGTCAGGTCCCACCGCAATTCAACGGAGTACACACTTGTAAAAAAGTATTACTTTATTGAAGCCATGAGTCACTGCACAGAAGAACTGTTTAGAATAACCCTAACGGCTTGAGCTAGGAAGGTTAAAGCAAATTCATAATCAATGCAGCCAATAGCTAAGGTTCCCGCTCGCGCCCAAAAAGCAGTTTACGCGCCCAACATCTCTGGGAACGCAACGGTAACTCCGTTATCAGTGTCTAATACTTCCCACAGTTTCTACTCATTAAAACAAAGCAAAGCAGAGAGCCAACTCCATCTCTTAACCACCTGTGACTTTGGAAATGATAACGTTACAGCAGACAGGCCTGGCGTAGACTAACAAGAATGCAGCTATGAATATATGCGCATGGGTATATGGGCTGACTGCTAGGGAGGGGGGAACCGACAGAAAATGTACATTGCCAAACACAGTTACCAGATACATATAGGAGTTCCAAAACCCATTGGCAGCTTGCTGGCAACCAGGAGAAGATATAGCTCTTGCATCAAGCTCTACGGTGTGTGTGACAGTACATAACAGTTACCATAGAATTCCCCCCCCCCCAATGCTAGAGCATCCCATGCATGACATGCCCTGTGCGAGGTGACGTCATCACACCAGGCATGTTGGACATGGATGGGGCTGCTTGGGGGGGGGCGGCGGCTCCCCCATCGGCCATCTGGGCATTGGTGGATTGGAGGCTTCAAAGGTGGGGACAACGCTGCCCCCGTCGGGGGGATGGCAACCCTATGTGGTGCAAAATGGGGGAAGTTGTATAATTTTTACACTCCTGCTCAGTCTCCTGAATTGAAATCCCCCCCCACACACACAGTTTGAGCCCTGGAAGAGAAAAAGACAGGCAAATGGCCTGTTTTTTCCCTCCCTCCCAGAGATCATTACAGCACTGTGTGGTCAGCAGACTGGCAAAGCATGCTGGGGTGGATGGCTAACCCCCTTCCCCTACGCTACATATCCCATCAAACTGGGCCCACCTGCAGTTTAGAAAACTCAGAGAAGATCCTATCATTTTGCAGATGGATGGAAAATTCTTGAAGCCACTGTGGTCATGTAGTGCCCTGGTTTTACCAAATGGGATGGGGGAGAGTAATGGCTGGACTGGTGGTAGCCAGGTGCAAAATGTAGGTAGGCCCCTACATCCTCCCTTGACCTTGTGTGGCCTATTTAACGGCTTTCCTGTCATCAGCTGGAGTTGACCTAGTCCTGTGATTTGTGCCGAGTCTCCTCCTTGTTTATAGAAAGGTGTCAGCTAAGATTAAGGTAGGTAACCGTTATCCCTCCCTCTTAGTGGCAAACTGAACTAATTCCGCAACATGCTGATTCGTCTGTCTCGTCCGGATTTAAAGGGATAAAAGGACTTCTGCTCTGCCAGTTTGGCAAAAAAAAGGCCCAGTTGTTAGAGTTGCTGCTCAGACTGACACATATCTTAAACGGCCATTTGACGAAACACGGCAGCTTGTAGTATGACGCAGCCATTTTAAGCGCTTAAAAGTTAAGTTGATTTCAGCAGGGGAAATGGGCTTAGATTGCTCACGTGGAAATCAGTGGAAGGGCTTTCCTCTGTGTGGATTGTGCCCTTGGTTTTTTAAAGTGCACTATAGCCGTTCTTTTTTTAAAACACAAACCAGGCCTGTCAGAGTGGAATTCAACAATACATACAATTCTTGCTTCTGGTAAGTGCTAAGAGACGTGGGAGCCCTGACCTGGGTCATCCAGGGTGCGTTCAGACGGGCAGCTTATCCCGCCATTAGCCCGGCTCTAATTTGATCCTGATTTTTTAAATCCATCCTTGCACGACCAGACAGCCCCCTGTGAATTGTCTTACTGTGCGCTGCCTCCGCTGTGGATTGTCCACATGGTGTCCACTGAAGGAGTTTTAAACTTTTTAAAGAAAGTTTGGGCAAGAGCCTAGGTGTGACATGGTGTCCTTATTTCTCCGCGCATGCGCAGAATCGAGATTTTTTTAAATGGCACCCATTCGGGATGGTCTGAGGTCAGACCATCCAGAACGGGCACCATTTTTTAAATTGCGCGCTGTAACGATCAGACGGGGGAAAGTCCATGAATGGCCCGTTGGGAACCGAAAACTCCAGTTTTAAAGTACTACCTTTTTGATACAGCTCCGAAGTGCGGCAAAACGGGATGCTCACGGACGAGGTATGTTTCCCAGATGTTCCCAGATCAGTGGCTATTAGCCACAAGGTATAGATAGGGACTCTGGGGCAAGTGATGCTCTGTCATCTTGGTGCCTGGAGGGGGTCAACAGCGGGAGGGCTTCTAATGTCTTGGCCCCAGTGGTGGACCTCCTGATGGCACCTGGTATTTCTGGCCACTGTGTGACACAGAGGGTGCGTTCAGACGGGGGATTTACAACGGTTAGGGTGCCGGTTCCAACCGGTGTACTTACGGGCGTTCACACGGCGAACATCTGCCTCAAGTCCCTAACCGTTGTAAATCCCTTTAAACCGTTGCACTCCGCCACTAGGTCCAAAGTGGTGGTAAACAGAGTGCAACGGTTGTAATCGGTGCACCCCGGCGTCTGATCGCTCTTCTCCGTTACAGAGACACTTCCGTCGGAAGCCTGAGGCTTCCGGCTTTCCCCCACCATATTTTTTTTAAAAGGAAGCGATATGCGCTCAGGCGAAGCTTTGCCCTGAGCGTTTGTGTAAAAAAAAAAAGCCTTACTTTAACTTCCCGGAGGAGTCCGGGACTACAGGGAGGCCAGGTTGGGCTTTAAACTTTAAAGGTAAGTGCTTACCTTTAAAGTTTAAATGTACGGGGGGTGGGGGTTGAGCATGCGCAAAAATCGCCATTCTCTGAATGGCTGCCTATGCGTATGCTCAAACTGTCCTTTAAAAAAAAACACACACGCAGATGCCCGCAGCGTGTGAGCAGGCGTCCACCGGAGGGCTCCGCAGACAGGAGGTAAGTCTGATCGCGTTTCTGCCGGCATAAACTGCACCGGTTCCAACCGGTGCAGTTTATGCTGGCAGAAAGGCCGCTTCTGAACGCACCCAGAGTGTTGGACTGGATGGGCCTTTGGCCTGATCCAACATTGGCATCTCTTATGTTCTTATGTTCTTATGTTGCTGTCTAGAAATTACATTTAACTCTGCCAAGCACTCGTGCATGGCGCAGATCTAAAGAGCCGTCTGAACACACCCCCAGGCTAGCCTGATCTCGTCAGAACTCAGAAGCTTAGCAGGGTCAGTCGTGGTCAGTAACTGGAAGGGAGACTTCCAGGGAATACCAGTCTCATGACACAGAGGCAGGCAACGGTCAACCATTTCTGAACGTCTCTTACCTAGAAAACCTCACCAGGGGTCACTGTGACTTGATGGCCATAAAATGGCCATAAATCTATGCAGACGGCTACCATAAAACCAAGAGATCACAGGAAGTGAAACCGGCACGCAGTGTGGAGGCTTCCATAAAATCCGACAATCACAGAAGGAGAAAGTGGCATGCAATGCAGAGGGGAATCTCTGTTCCAATGCGGGTTTGGTAAAACAGTGGAGCGAATGCTGGATGCAGAATGGGCCTATGAATTTCCACTTTGCATGCAGAAGGTTCAGGATCAACCCCCCCCCCCCCGCATCTCCAGTTACAAGGACAAGGCAGTAGGTAAGAAGAAGACAGAAAAAATGATTGGATTTATACCCGGCCCTTCACTACCCAAAGGTGTCTCAGAGCATCTTACAAACTCCTTTCCCTTCCCCTCCCCACAACAGACACCCTGTGAGGTAGGTGGGGCTGAGAGAGCTCTGACAGAAACTGCTCTTTTTCAAGGACAGCTCTTATCAGAGCTACGGCTTGCCCAAGGTCATCCAGCCAGGTGCAAGTGGAGGAGTGGGGAATCAAACCCGGTTCTCCCAGATTAGAGTCCGCGCACTTAACCACTACACCAAACTGGCTCTTTCACAAACTGGTAATGTGAAAGACCTCTTCCTGGGACCCTGGACAGCCACTGCCAGTCTCTGTAGGGGCCGTGGCTCAGTGGAAGAGCCTCCGTTTTGCATGGAGAAGGTCCCAGGTTGAATCCCAGCATCTCCAATTAAGAGGGCCAGAAAGTAGGTGATGTGAAAGAGCTCTGCCGGAGGCCCCGGATAGCCAGTCTGAACTTGATGGACCGACAGTCTGATACAATCTAAGGCAGCTTCGTGTGGGTGGCCTCTCCAGCCTGGGGAATTCCTGGAGAATTGGGGGCAGTGACTGTGGAGGGGGGAGTCTGGGAAAGAATTTCACCCAGAATGTAGGATACGCCACAGAGTCTGCCCTCGGAAGCTGCCGTGTCCTCCAGGAGACCTTAAAAAGGATATTATAGCTTTGGAAAAAGTGCAGAAAAGGGCAACTCGAATGATAAAGGGGTTGGAACACTTTCCCTATGAGGAAAGGTTAAGGCGCTTAGGGCTCTTTAGCTTGGAGAAACGACGACTGAGGGGTGACATGATTGAGGTTTATGATTATGCATGGGAAAGAGCAGGTAGAGAAAGAGGTACTTTTCTCCCTTTCTCACAATACAAGAACTCATGGGCACTCCATGAAATTGCTGAGCGGTTGGGTTAGAACGGAGAAAAGGAAGGACTTCTTCACCCAAAGAGTGATTAACACATGGAATTCACTGCCACAGGAAGTGGTGGCGGCTACAAGCATGGACGGCTTCAAAAGGGAATTAGATAAGCACATGGAGCAGAGGTCCATCAGTGGCTATTAGCCACAAGGCATAGATAGGGGCTCTGGGGCAAGTGATGCTCTGTCTTCTTGGTGCTTGGGGGGAGCAACAGTGGGAGGGCTTCTAATGTCCCGGCCCCACTGGTGGACCTCCTGATGGCACTGGTATTTCTGGCCACTGTGTGATACAGAGTGTTGGACTAGATGGGCCTTTGGCCTGATCCAACATTGGCATCTCTTATGTTCTTATGTTCTTATGTTATGTTATCTGGAGGTCAGTTGGACTTCTGGAACTCCAGGCCCTGCCTGGAGATTGGCAGCCCTACTTAGGATGCAGCTCTGCATACTCTTCCCAGCCGCGGCCCGCGCGTAGACGTGCAGACCAAGCCCTGTGTTTG